AAGTGTTTCTCCGCTGTTGTTTAAAGTATACATAAATCACTTTTTCTGGACATGTAAATTCTGATTTTTGTATTTTATCTAATAAAGTTGCTTTATGTGTTATCTCAGAGTTCCTGGCATATGTCTTAGTTTTCTGACTCTTGAGTGTATTGCAGAGGGAGGTTATATACACCTGTAAGTCAATAGACTTTTCCTGTTCTGAAATATTTAGACTTTAAACACTTTTGAATAAACTTATACAAGCTGCTGGTCTGCTAACTTGAAAAGAAAAATAAAGGATTGCCTTATGCGGTGTACTTGCAGATGTAACTCTATAACCATTCAGCAAACTACTTTGATATTAGTGAACTTAAAATAAATTACGTGACTAGCAAGTCTATCTTTTCCTCTTCATCCCTTCCCTGCTGACAACCTCGTAACCAAATTAGAAATAATTTAGCTATCCCCTTATTTTTGCAGAAAGGCCAGCAAGTGGTTGAATTGGAGTTGAACGTTTGCATCTTTCTCAACTGGACTACCTGAAATAAATTCTGGCTTTCTCTAAAGCTTGAGTGGTCCTGCAGTCATTCAGCTCTTTTCCGTCTACTCTTACCTTCTCAGCGTCCTCAAGGTGTCTTGTAAGTCTTGCAGATAAAATCGAGTCGCTTTGTCTGGGCGTCCATCTTCCGCTGTCAGGCAGCGAGAGTGTGTGTTGGAGAAGGCGTTCAACCTGCCAGACAAACCAGGGAGGGTGAGGGCAGCGTCCCCTCAGCTGCGTGAGGCTCAGGTGAGCGCGGCAGCGTGCACAGGTACTTGTTTGTACAGTGGTGCCTGTATCACCTCCCACTTGATGTTCTTAAAGTGGCACAATCCTTCCAAAGAAAGGATGAAGCAGTTCTGCCTTGACCGCAGTTTGCTCAGGATCAGCAAAACAATAGCTGGCTGTTCACACATGCACAAGCTGCTTCAGGAGACAGTCACTTGTAGTGAAAAATGATGGCCCTTTTTTTCTTTGCCAGGAAACCACTTGGGGTTTCCTTGTAAATCATCTTACTTACTCAGAAGCGAATAATCTGATAATAACCACGAGTCAGAATCCGAGTTGTTTAATGAGTAGTACACGTAGCCTTCAGAGCATGAGGGCTGATGCCCCTCAGGTTATTGCAGATCCAAGGGGTTCAGACACCCAACTCTCTTACAACTATGTAAATTCAGCAACCTGCTTGCTACTTGCAAGCTTAGCTTTATTTAAATATTTGAAAAATCACAGCTACAGTCTGGCTGCTGCAGTATCTATTATATGGAGTAAAAAGCACATAGAAACCCTTTCAGAGGCTTTGCTAAGCCAGCTCTGGCTCTGCTGCATGCTGTTGTGGAGGTGGCACTACACAGTCACTGAGAAATGGCCCTCTTATCTATACGCAGTACTGCATCTCGCACTTGGCTGACAAGGAAAGATGCGAAGGCTAAACTGCAGCCTGGGTTAAAAACCCTTTGTTGGGGACACAAAGGGTCTGTGCAACTACCTGCCTTGCAACGGAGCTATCCAAAGGGGTGTATGTTTGCACCTACTGAAACCAAAGTCCAGACTTCGAGCCGTGTCCCTTTAGATCTCAAAGTCACCCAACTGGCAATAGGTTTTTTTAAACTCTTACAAGACACAGACAATATGAACTGGGGTATTTTTACAGAAAATAATGACTTAAGAATAATTTTTGTGATGGATAATTTTTATAGAATTAAAAACAATTTTCTGAACATTTGTTTGGGGGGAAAAAAGTTTTCCATTATACAAAGCAGAATTGGTAACTCTTTCCCCCCCAAACTGACGTGCGACTTCCATCTCTCTCGATATTTGATACTCTTTCATTGGTCTCGCCAAAGCCAAGTTCCTTTTTAAGTTCCTTTTCAAGAAATCTGCTCATCCTGTTTTTCACTAGCTTTTAAGATTAATAAGCTTTTAATCTTAATCCTGGTGGTGGTGTCATACTAACCTCTTTGGAAGTGGTGCTCTCCATTGGCTGAAAATTGAACATCATGCAGTTTGGCTTGTCAGCAAGCCGGGTGGTCTGCTACACGCACAAGTACTGGTAAATACATGGCAAACAGTGGCAGTACTGAACTGAACTTTAAAATAAGTTCATAAATGTTTTGGAAAATAACTTTGAAGTAAACGGTTGCCAGCTTTGGGGATTCCACCTGTCTTTTACAAATCAGATGATGCTGTGCTGCCCTCTCGTTCAGATTTAGGAAGTAAATTAGGTGCCCGAATGCTAAACCAATCTGCTTTTCAGGCCAAGGCTGCCATTTCCAGACCTGCCTGCTGTCAGCAGGGTTGCTGGAGGGAGCAACTTCAGGCAGGGTGAGAAATACTTGCTTGCTTTGAGGTTTTAGGTCCTCATCTAGTACCACAAGTAGCTAGAGCGTCCGAACAGGGCTAGTATCTGTAGCTGTGGAGTAACACATTAAGTCCTTTCCCCTCTTCCCTGGGAGTCCACAGGGGAAAATGCCCAAACATGGGGTGGGTGCGGGAACATTTCTGCTGTGGCACACATTCATTAGACTGACACTGAAGGCAGCCACCTGGAGATAAGCAGGATAAAATAAAAAACTTACCGTGGCTTTAAATGTTTGGGGCGGGGGGGGCAATTTCATTCTCAGGCTGATGTTCACCATGGTAAACTTCCTAAACTTTATTGGAATATGATGAGTGGAAAACTACTGTACAAGGCGATGCCTGTGTCGCTGTTTTCTCATGCTTGTGGCAGAGTTAGTTTCACAACAGGAGTCACGCAAGGCTGAAGACTGGGTGGGTGAGCTGATGGGTGCAGGCAGATACTGGTGAGCTGTAAAACATTTGTGAGTAAGAGTAAGAATAGTGTTTGAAAGTGAAACAGCGCCTATGGACTCCCGAGTCCTCATTTCCCCTCTAGATACCTGTTTCAACTGGGTTAACGTAAGAACATAACAGTCTACCTAGACCTTACATGATACAGGATTCAGTAGTCTATATTTTGGCTAAGTTGTCCAGAAATAGGGCACTAATTAACAGCTTGTAGATCTCCTTACGTGCTGAATAGATGCATTGGATAAACTGAGGACTTTGCTCACAAAACTTTTCTCTTTGCATATGTTGGGATAACTTTACGGCTCCTGGAACAGGGAAATGTGGTCCCATTTAACATGCGTTATTGTGATGAAGGATTTTAATATTGCTGGAGTGAATAATTAAGTAATCTATGGAGGTAGACCACCTGTAGGGACCAAATTCTTTGGGCAGAAAGGTGTCTCGGTTCGATGTTAGCCCTGTCGCATTAATCAGCTTAAGTAAATACCTGTAAGATAAATTGCTTAGTTTGCAGACAGTAATAACAAGAATGATTCACAGGCCATGACATCAAGCAGAGGGCTGAATGGGGGCCAGGAAGGTCCATGCCTTGTCATAGAGCAGGTGGTGAGAACATACCCAAAATATTTGAGTAATTGAATTTAAGCCACCTCAGGAATGTCGTGCACGGCCAGTTGCCGCTCTGGAATTAAGCGATGTGCACAGCTATGGGGCTCCAAGCAGCCTCTTAGCTGGCCCCCTGCATTCATACCAGCTGTGAGCATACCTTCCCTCCCCAAGTACCTTCATAGTTTCTGTTCTGTCTCCCTGTTGCACAGAGGGTGAGCCAGACCAGCTGCTCTCTAGAGCTGGATGTTTCCCTGCTCAGCTCTGCATGACCAGGCTGGAACTAACAAAGCTCGGGTGAGTGAGCGTTACCGATAGCCAGGCATTTGGCTTGGTGCATATGGCAGCATGCCTGGATGCGCAACCAGCCTTTGTACCATGTCATGGAGCTTATGCGGAGCCTTCATTGTCTAAGCTAGGTTGACTCCAACTGCCCCAGAGGAAGGAAAAAAATCATAGACGTCTCTGGATGTGCCTCTTGCACTGCACAACTGCGCGTCTAACCTTGGGAGTCTAACTTCAGTGGGTGACTGGACCCCAGTAACAAAGTTGTTCAGAAAGCTTTGTCTTAACCCTTTAGTTTGAGGGTGCAGGCTCTGAGCAGCTTCTGCAATGAGAGCAGAATATAGGCTCCTTCAGCAATGTAGGCATCCACTAAGCTTAGCCCCAGGGAAATCCCCATCAGGTTTTGCCAAGCAGCTCTATGGTGCCCACAAATTAGCTGTATCTGAATCTCTCTAGCTCAAAAAAATTGACCTTGCCATGGCTTTACTGATCTCCCCAAACCACATGGGCATTGTAACATCTCAGCTCTCACGTGTTTTCTTCCACATGCATCCCACGTGGCATGGGACCTTGGGCTTCTTGTGCTGCTACCACTTTGAGTCACGAAAGAGAGCAGGAGTTGCTGGAGGGGCTCAGGACAGGTGGCTTCTGGCTATCACTTTTCAGGTATATGAAGGTTAAAGACCTGCTGACTAAAGCTTTCCCATGGGAAATGTAAGGTAGGTGAGTCCCCCTTGTGCTCATAGCTCTGCGTCACCCTAGCAGCACTGCTTATTTCTTCTTTCAGGGGATCTCTCATGGGTGAAGATGGCCGGAGAAACACAGGCTGAGCAACAGCAGTGGTAGCAGGAATGTCTGTACGGGTAGGTTTGGTAAGGGAAACTTAGAGAAAGGATCAAAATACGCAAAACTTAGAGGCTCATGGAGAAAGGGGTGCTGGAAGATCTTGTGGCCACAAGTCACTTTAGGTATGTGCCCAAGAAATCTGCTTTTTGCTCTTGTTGTAGTAAGTCAGCAGGTTAACGGCGGAGTAGGAACCCCTAGGCAGGCCTATCGAGAAACTCAGTGGGCAGTGAGTAACAGAACAGACAAAAGGGCCACTGCTCTCGTGAGAAGTAATTTCCTCTTTATGGCTGGCACTTGTTTAAAAGACAAATCAGGCTGGGGAAGAGCGACTTGTATTTTTCCTGCTGCATTATCTGAGTTCACTAGCTACAAATTAAGAGACAAGGATAGGAGAGCGTATTCCAGGGAGCCTGCCAGACAGCAGCAGGGGGAAGCACTAAAACTGACAGACAATGAGGCGATTCTGGTTGCACTTTTTGTCATTCCAAGTGCCATCAGTGTACATCTCCACACATTCCTCTTTCCCTTTGCCAGAAGGTTCGTTTAAATGCCAGTTAGCATAGCTCAGTTGTGTGCCATCCAGGAACTGGAAATTGCTTGGAATTAGCGATTCCTTTATCCCCAGGTAGGCGTAGGTATTAAAATTTTTCACAAAGTACAGAATGGCATCGTTCTCGCCTGGGTTCCTTGGAGTGGCAATAGACCCTCCAACCTCTTTGCATTTTTTCAGTGTAGTTTGGAAATCAGCTTTTTCCCCATTGGTAGCAAATATTTTTCCTCCAGATGCAGTTATCTTCTTTTCCAAGGAGAGGACTGCAAGATGAGGTGAAAGCTGTTAAACTTCTATGCATTGTTTTGCGGTCACTTTGCTGCCAACTGTAATTCCCGCTATTTTCCTCCATAACTTTAGACTAAATCCAGGAAAAGGTAAAGGAAGGGAAAACTTGAAATCAAAGATAAAAAAAGAAAAGAAGAAAGCCAGCCCCCAAAAGCCAGAAGAAATCTGAAAAGGTGAGGGGAGGGGGGAAAAAGGAAGAAACACATAAATATACAGACAATGAAATAGGAGAAGCACAAAAGAAGTTGGAGAAGGGAGGGAAGGAAATAAAGAATTCTACATTTGGAAAAAGTATGTTGTTTTTTTTGAGTCTCTGTACTCTGTGTAAGCTCTCTGAGACGGTTTGCAGTATACAAGGGTATATGTCAGTCCTTAAGTGAGTAGGATCTTAGCTGTGATCTGGTTGTGACTGTTTTGGTATGGTTTTAGTGTTCTGCTTATTTGTCTGTTAGGAGCATGAGGTGCCCATGGAGCACTTCTGCATAAGCAGGGATTTTAATCTGATATATTTCTGACTTGCTTGCACCCATATTTCAGAGCTATTACCTAGGTGTCTCCCACTAGTTATGAAAAACTAATCCTCCCTTCCCCCCCATTTGAGAATTATCACTCTCCTATCTACCAGTGAACAAAAGACAAACGGAACGCAATAAAAGCGCAGAAAAGTCTGCTTTTTTCCGAAGAAGCCATTTTGTTGCTCATCTTGTTTATGCTCACTAATCCAGCAGAAAGTAAAGGCAGATAAATTACCTCCTGCAAGTCTGGAAATCTGATGTTCTAATTGACGGATCATGTCTCCCACTTCACTATCAACCAGCGGTAGGAAACCTGTGAAGAAAACCAGCTATTATGCACTTTGTGTTACAGTTTGAATCTTGGCTTTCGAGATAAAGCAGAGGTAGTCACACAAAATTAATATAAGCTTTTAAAATGTTTGTTTGACCCGTTTTAGTTTACTGCTGTGTTTTAAACAGGGGATCTTTTCAGACATTGATCTTTGTAAGGATAGGGAATACATTCCCGGAAACTACCTGCAGAGCAGTGATGTTTATGCAAAACTCAAACTGGCAAACTGAGTTAGTCTTTGCTCTCTAAGTGATTGAGCCAGTCCAGGCAAAACACTGGCACTTGTGCAGTAGGTTGAGTTGATTTTTAACTGTGTCTAGGGATTGTTGACAGAATCCTTCAGGCTGTTCAAGCACTTGCTTGCAGCTCCAACCTAACACCTAGCAACGAGTTTCTTGTGCCCTGTGTTATGGAAAATGATATCCTTTTCTCTGTGAATTGAACCATTGTGTCATTAAGTAGGAGAGATTTAAGCGTCTTACTTGATACAAGGAATTAATAAAGATCTGTTTATTTTCTATCAAGTAGGACCCACATCAGATTATACAGCATAGCATTGAGTTTACAAAGCATAGCAATGGAACGCGACAGCACATCTAGATAAAAATGGAGATGGTAACTGCATGTACCTGGTATAAAGCCTTCATCGTATTCAGGCAAGCGCACAAAACCGGGCAGTGGAGGAATTCCTGCTGGTTTACCTTGAGCACAGCACAGGAGCAGGAAAAAAGCTACTCCAAAGATTTTGTGGAACAACTGTGGAGACAGCATTATTTAAAGCCAAATGTAAAACAGGCTGTTTTACTCTCCGGTGTAGAGTCCTGCGTTTAAAAAAAAGAAATGTAAGGTTTCAGAATTTTGCTGTCTGGGTTTGAAGTTTTATGTACCTTAAGCTTCGCCCTCAGTGATGTGAATGTCATTGATGTAGTTGCGAAGTTAGGTTATTACAAATAATTAAAATCTTTTTCCAAAAGACTGAGTCTGTTAGTCTACTTAAGAGTTCAAGCTACAGAGCAAAAAACCAAAGCATGCCCTTCAAAGCTTTTTTTTTTGTACAGCAGATATACCATTTTTCCCATGCAAAAAGCTATCCTTTCAGTCTTAATTATACAGGGGAGCAATAGACGTGTCTGCTTTAGTAAGAGAAAGTCAGGTTAAGATAAACTGGAACATGCTGTCTTTATCAATTGGTTGAGTGAAACAATTGTTAATGCTTATTTTTCCATTATGGCATCCTTCTTTTAAAGTACCTTCACCTGAGGTCATAATCCTCTGTAAAAGTAGGTGAAAGTTTTAATAAAATTGTTGAGACACAAAGAAAAATCTAAAATGAAAGGTTTGTGATACAGTTTAAGAGGATTCAACATAATTTAAATGGAAATCTATTTAAAGATGTTCAATTTACCTAGCAGCTCCAATATGAAATGAGAGACTCTTTAAATGGTCTAATTTATAGGACATGTAACTTGAGATTTGTCTTGTTACCTACAGGAAATACAAAGAGCATGTAATATGATGTGCATTTGCATATGAATAGAAATTTAATGAACTTTAACTGGAATGATAGGGGGTTTGTTTTCTTTAAGAGGTAAACACACTTAAAATGGGAGGAAAATATTTGAGGGTGCTTTCTTGATTTGTAGAAACACTTTCACACATTTCAAAAAAAACAAAACCACAACCCTGGAGCAGAACAAAGCAATTTCTCAATACATACTTGAAATACCTAACATTTCCACAGAACAGCTGTGTAAATGTTAAATTGTAAATGTCACTGAAGATAAGCCAAAACAAGGAGTTCACCTGAAATACAATATGCAAAAGGAATACCACCATCACTTTCATTACAGACTGAGGCCGTATCGGTGATAACTACTGATGTTTTGTAGCTAAACAGAATCTCATGATCATAGCAGCAAAGCCGAAAGACAATGGTACATCTGCAGCATGTGCAGGGGCAACAGCCACAGAAGCACATACTTAGATAACCTACAGAATACTCCAGGGGAAGCTTAGATATCATAAATAATAACAGTTTTACAGTACTAAGTAAGTAGTACACTTTTATCCAACAGCACAATGACCTTTCAGTGAAGGAAAAAGCTGCTCTAAACCAGTCCTGTAAGTAGAGAGGCCTCAAGATGTGGAGCATTGCTGAAATGGAAATGCATTGCCATGCACTGCTAAGTTATTCTCAGCTGAGAGTTGTTTCTACCTAATGGAGACTTCTAGGAAAGGAGTTTCAGGCTGTGCTCCAGTTCAAACAAATAGATCCTCATCCTTGTGGGGTCAGGCCAGCATCCTGATGTTGCAGCAAGGCTAACAGCCGAGTCAGCTGAGGAATTAGGTGCTTTGAGATTAGATGGGGAATGTGAGCAAGATCCATATTAGTCTAAGATGCTACTGGATCTAAGCAAGCCTGGATCACCCCCACAGGCACTCTGCACCTGTACCTTCATACTGACCTCAGTAACTGATGTAGAGTCCTTTGTCATTGGTGTAGTGCCCACAGAGGCCTGATTAATTCCTGCAGCATTGTTTATTGAGTGCCCTGGAAAAGGCACCAGTCCTGTGAAAAATAAATAAGCGGTACCCAGTTGTATGTACCTTGACAGAAGAGGGCCGATTTAAATTTGCATGAGGAACCTTTGTTTAATGTTTCTTGTTAAATTTCAAGTTTCTTAGCTTTTGAGCGTTTGACTTAATGCTTTTAACGTTCTTTTGGCTGAGGTTTTCTAATTGTTTTATGAAAAAACCCAAAAACAGAGAACATGAGACAAGCCATTACCTGGGGCCAGATGAGCCCTAGAAAAGGTCACTGGCAGAACCTTGGGCCTTTGCATCCGTGGTAAGAACAACCTTAGCGCTTCAACTGCATCTGGAAGAAACCGCAGGTTAGGCGAGTGTGAGAAGAGGATGAGGCTTGGCCTCCATTAGTGGGTTTCACACGCTGACTGATGGCCTGGGAAACCTGGAGGGAGACAGAAGCTTTCTTGTGTGATAGACCCCTGAGAAGAACGGATGGAGATTTGATAAATTCTAAACTTTTCTTCACTTGATTGTCATCAGCATATTGATAAGATGGAGCAAGCTAAAATAGATATTTAAAAATACTTACATTTCTGCTACGCTGGTTTATGATTGCCTAATAGCATATGCGATATAACTATCATAACTTGTAAACTATTTTCTGATCTTGCTTTGAGCTGCACTTCACAGAAGCTCAGCAAGATTCAAGGACACAGATCTGCTAAAGGACAAACAATTTTTGAGTATCGAGGCAACTTTTCTTCTGTGTTTCCCCATCGATCACTAAGAGGTTTTAGAATTTCAGTGCTAGTGAAGCAAATGAAGGATATTCTGAGAGTAGGTTCAGTGTTGCACAATGTAGGTAGGTAAATGCAAAACACGCTAAGGACAAAAGTTGGTCAATACTGCTTTCTTAGCTGCTTCAAGAAATACAGACACTAGAGTTGAATTTCAGTTTATGAAAGTGGGTGTGTGTTCCTTCCATGAGCCTGTTTGTTAGCCTTTCCTTTGTATACTTAACCTCCTGAAAGTTGGGGATTTTTTCCTTCATAGTGCTAGTCACACCTCAGATAACCTTGAAAATTCTTTTCTTATTCTCTCAGTTTGTATTTAAATGACTGCAACCCCACTTATATTTTTTTGTTTACATTGATTTTGTGCTGTTCTGCTGTTGTTTCCATCCTACCTTGCTGCCACCTTGTCCTGTGCTTTCTGCATTTCCTTTTCTCTTCCAAATCACTGTCAGGCTGTCCCCAACAGCTCCCTTATGCCTGGGAATATCAGGAAGAGCACAGAGCATGTGGGACCTAGTGTCTCTCCTTCTCAGAGGAGGGCTGAGGCTATTTTTGCTGCGCTTTAAAAACAGGAAGCAAAGAATTCAGCAAGACATGGACACCTGGGATGACAAACTTCAAGGTGACTTTTTTCTTTGGAGTTATGAGCAGCATTTTAGAGCAGAAACTCTTAATTCATTTTACCTGTAGACAGTGTGATCAGTGCTCATAAATGCTACTGCCATCTTGCTCCACAAACTTCAATGACTTTTTTCTTTGAAGTTATGAGCAGCATTTTAGAGCAGAAAGTCTTAATTCATTTTACCTGTAGACAGTGTGATCAGTGCTCATAAATGCTACTGCCATCTTGCTCCACTGACTTAAGTTACGTGTGAAGCATCCAAGTGGAGGTCACTAGGTGTCTCTGATATGTCACTTGGGGCAGCTCAGCTGAACAACACAGAAATAAATAAAGAGGGTTTTGTGTTAATAACAAATAGAAAACAAGACAATATCTCATCTCTTCAATAGTTCTTAGTAGCAACATAGCATTCTAATGCGAGAAAAAAAATACCTCATGAACCAGATGAAACTATTTTTCCATATATTCTGCAGTTGTCCTCCATTATCTGCAGAAGGTTAAATTGTTTGCTACAGTCTTTACTATCATAATCGTAGAACCATAGAAAA